CTTGCAATAGATTAGGTACCCTTCCATAACCACTATTTCATATTCAACAGTTTTTGGAATAAAACATTTATTACATAAAATGTTCCACTTGGATCATTTAAGTTGCAGAATTCAGTGGGATTTGTGAAAACATTGTCACCACTTTTTCCCAAATTTTTATCGTACTTTATTTTGTTTTTGTTTGTTCTCCTGACACTTTGGATTAAAACCAGGGACTCCTGCTTGCTGGCCTTGAACTTGTCTCAGCTTCCCAGGTAGCTGGGATTGCAGCAGTGATCCAACATATCTGATTATTTCCATAAAATTTTAATGACTCCAAACAGATAAACAATGCTGTCATGGAAACAAGCCTGTTAGAAGGGCAAAGATGTCACCTTCCCCACCCTGCTGCCCAAGTCATTTCTGGGCAAGAAGCAGCTCATACTCTCCCTGAAGCCCATCTGCTTGGTTGGCAGCCTCAAAGCAGCAGGGGCAAAACACCTGGATCTCTCTGTCCTGCAGAATCACGTAGATTACCATTCATCAATTGAAGCCCAGCCTCCATGACCCTAGTCGCAGATCTTCCCCTTAATCTAGGATGCCTCTTAAGCTAGGGTGGCCTGTTCCCCTTAAGCTTCGCCTGCCCGTTTCTTCCGGTACCCTTCCTAGGTTGGGGAAGAGACTCCCTGTCAGGGCCCCACATCAGTGAGTCATTTTCACATCCCCTCCTTCAGGTCTCTCTCTGACCCTGACCTCTGGCAACTTCCTGTAGTCTGCATGGCCATTAGGTGTTCCACTCTCAGCACTCACTCAGGCTAGGAGTCAGCTTAGCTGATGACCCAACTCCTTTGACTACTAAATCTTTTTCTCTGTTGGGACTTGTGAGACTCTTGTTTGAAAAGAGAGCTGACTTTCACTTCAAATGCTGAGACGTGAGAAAGATGGGGGGGGCGGTGAGGGGGAGAGAGGGAGAGAGAGAGAGGGAGAGAAAAATTGCTTTAAATATTTTTTCCTGAATTACTGCAGGAAGCATCCTACCCTGAATAAAGGCAACCAGGGAAAAAGAGGATGATGTTGTGGAGTGATGGTAAAACTCAGTGGTAAATACTTGCAAAGGTCATTTCATTGTTGAACAGTTAAATTGGGGAAGGTAAAAGTAGCACGTTTACCTTAAATATTATCATTACTAATCTACAGTAATCACACCTTTGAACACAGAGGACCTGAAATACTCATTATTTATCTACTCTAGTGTCTCCCCTTGGGAACACTGGATGAACTCAATTTTTATCTACTTCTGACTCCCCTTCTTTCAGACATTTCTGTTTACAACTGAGACCCTCACCATTTCTTTTTAATCAAATGAAATATGGAGGTGTCTTTGTTTGTTTGTTTGTTT